ATGAAAACCCTGACTCTGTGGCCTTCCGTCTTAGACTAACGCTCCACAAATGAAATTGAAGTTGTTAAATTCTGTAATCCCAATAATAGCAAATATCTAAACTTTTACAGTTAGCCAAACTTCTTCTTTTGAATGAATTTTCAAGTTCTTGATTGATTCTAAATTCTGGTTTTGTTAAAATGAATAGTAATTTTTAAAAAAATCCCACAAATGTATGTATTGGGTGTAGTCTGATGTTTTGTGGCAAGAAGAAATAATGAGTAAACCATACTGGGCACCTAGAACTGGGTGTTGCTGCTTCATTTAATAACTGTATTCACTAAGTGGGGTGGGGCTGTAGGTTCCCACATCAGCACCACCACTGCTTTCTGCATCTGGAGGGTGCATGGCCAGATTGCAGCAGTGATCCCTGCTTGCGAACAGGGCCCATGGGGGGCCTCTGGCAGCCAGGATATAGTATAGTTCCATTCCAGTTTACATGAGGGGCCAGTGCAAGCACAGAATGGCCCCATGACCAGGGAGCACACCATCAATTGTTCAAATAACTCTGGCCCAAAGAGTTAAGTTGTCAGGTTTTATAAATATGCCCACAAAATTGATATTCTGAAGTGCATAAAATCAGCAAAAGGCAACATGGCCAATAAGGGGTTAATTCCAGAACAGCTTATTTTGTTTTAATAACAGATGCTTTTTTCCCTGTTTTGATGTTATATTTTACTATGGATGAAAGATGCCAACAGAATCCTATGGAAATTGGAGGTGATGACTGATCTGAAAGCTTTCCTGTTATTTGTTATAGGAGTTGTGATTCAGTGCAACAAGCAAATAGTAACTTTTTATATATTGGTGAAATAGATATATAGTATAAAGTTCTGAACAGAAAACCATTCCATGTGTATTTTTGGTTTCTCAACAGGAACTTAGTCTTGAATGAACAATACATTTCAAGAGTTTAAAGTATGACAAACATCCCCAGTAAGTTATCACACAGTTGGCAACCGATATTAAGAGTTGCAGTACAGGAAGATCTTTTATTGCCTCTTAGCCGAACAGAAAAATGAAGCTTTTAATCTCCAGATAGACTGAGGAAGATTCAATGACAGTCTGTACCTTGGCGGCAGCAGTCAGAAGGCCTGCTGTACCACCTGGCCCGTATCACACTAGCATTTAATATGTTTGAGAGGATGCAGGATTCATTGTAAGCAGTAACATTTTTATCTCTGTCAAAACTCAATATGTTCTGAGTAGTATGTTTTTGTTACTGTATTGTTTTCAGATCTTGGCATACAACTGGTTGTAGGTTAGGATAATCTGTTACTTGTAGAGTGATGAATTTCATGATTCTGAAGACTGCTGTTCATACTGCCTTGTAAAAAAAACCCAAGGCTAGGTACTTGCTGACAATTTAGAGGTAGCAATTTAGAGTCAACATACTTACAGATCCTACAAACTTAAAACTGAATCCCTAGCAATGGGCTGGGGCAGTGGCACAAGAGAGGGAGAAAATTGGGGAAATGATCTTTCAGCAATAGCATCTATTGGGACAGTAAAAAGAACAGGAGTACTTGTGGCATCTTAGAAACTAACATTCTACAGGCCATTATTCTCTGATCCCATTGAGGATTACCTAAAGAAACTACACCATCTGCTAAAACAACTCCCTGACAAAGCACAGGAACAAATCTGTACAGGCACATG